ATACTCGGCAATAATAATTTAAGGAATTTGAAATAAAATCTATCATAGAGTCAGAAATTATAGGTTAACGATTATAGTATGAAATACATACGTAATTTTATAACTAACTGTATATATAAAATTATCAATCAATTATCAACGTTGAAAATGTTGTAAAAATAAATTTCATCGATAAAAATTTGCTGAATGTGTCTCACTGTGGAACGAAATACACTTAAATGCATTTAAAGTGTATTGAGAAAGAATTTAATTCAAGCATCATTCCAAAGAACACAAATATCCAATTTTCCTGAGAAACTTCAAAAATATTTCCCAGAAATTATAGGTTAACGATTATAGTATGAAATACACGCGTAATTTCCTAATTAACTTTATATATAAAATTATCAATCAATTATCAACGTTGAAAATGTAAAAATAAATTTCATCGATCAAAATTTGCTGAATGTGTCTCACGAAATACACTTGGCATTTAATCTACTGAGAAAGAATTTAATTCGAGCATCATTCCAAAGAACGTAAATATCCAATTTTCTTCAGAAATTTCAAAAATATTTCCCAACACTACCTGTCTCGTTTAATATATATCATTTAAAACATAACTATGAACGGTATAATTACCAAATATAATTAACAAATGGGGAAAAAAGATATTTCACACTCCTCGATAAATTCGGTTCGAAAAAATTCAAATTCTCCTGAAATCACGCAGCTATTAAACACGATGAAGCAAAAAGTTGCTGGACGTGGGGCAAGAGCATGGTGAAAATCGAGCGCGACACGATATATCTCGCATGTGGAATGCTCGAGGAATAAAAAAAAAAAAAAAATGCGACGAAAAATTGGAAATCGGGGCGTATTAATTTTAGAGATAAATCGAATGATATTAATCGTGACGGTATAATTTCCTCGCCGCCGGGTAGTGCGTTACTATATAATTATAACGAAATGTTGCAACGCGCCAGATTGCAACAATTATCGTCAGTGGCTAATTAACAAAGGACCGAAGTAAATCATTGTCTCCACGCGCTATCGTTACGTGGCTCGTACGTGGCATACGGAAAATCGCAGTGCATCGGTATGCGAGCTAATTATCGTTAAGCGACGACTTGAAATGGCAAGCAGAAAATCGATGTCCCGAACGGCGTGGTCTTAAAATTACAAATAACTATATCCGATTGCCGCGCGGAATTGTAATAAATGTCCTTAAGCTATGTTTCTCGTGTATCGCGCGAAATTCGAATAATTGCGTAGTTTATGAATCATTTCGCGCACTTTCAATTTAACACGCCGATGGACACTGGGTCTCCTAAGTACATTTAATATACAAAATTCTATGCTTAACGTTCACGCAAGTCGACCTTTTAATTAATAATTTCACGAATTTGCAAATTAAAATTGTATTTATTAAGTCACTTTTGTGATGATTAGAAAATAACTAAAATAAAATTGTTCAATTTAAACTTGACACCTGTATTGACAGTGGCATAAAATTTCTGCCAATTATGGTTTATGGTGAGTGAAATTGTATATAGATTTAATGGATTTTTCCATATTTTCAGAATTTTTATACCGTCCAGTAGTTTCTCGTCCATAATTACGTGGTAATTTACGAATAATTAAAAAAAAAAATGAAATACTGATTAATAGTAGTTCATAGAATAATTATACTGATTTCAGTTGTGTTTTGGAACGTTCAAATATAACCTATTTCGAATAACTAAATAGGAAGTGAAAAAATAAGCGAAAATTTTTTTCGAAACATCATATAAGTAATATACTGTAAAATTTATTATATATTTATATATGTTATATTTATTATTATTATATTATATTATATTATATTATAATATTTATTATATTTACTTTATTATATTTACTATATATTATTTATTTATTCAACTAATCTACTGATTACCATCACGCTGTAATATGCTATAAAATGAGTATAAAATTATTGTGTAGTACTCATGATATAATTCCGATACACCCTGTATATATTTATTTTCTTTTCGTAACAAATACGAAGAAAATGAATATATGCCGGTCTTGTCACGAATATATTTCTTTTATTCCACTTATTATGACGATAGGTCTAAAACGACAGAGTACGTATCACGATAAAATACACGGGTTCTAAATTGTACTACTTTTGGGTCATATTTGACCCTGGATCGCCATGCGTACGAATATCCACTGTCGGAGAGTTAATTCGATCCTCTAGCTATACTTTACCCTTCGATTTCCTCTTACCACCCTGTGAATTCTGAAAAGCTTCCAGAGGGGTTTCTATAGTGAGGTTTTACGACATCCTATGGTTTCCAGGGAGTTTTATAGTAAAGCGTCTTTAATTAAATAGTTTAATGAAGAAGGTTAATTCCGTTATACTATCGTCCATCTATGACCCATTTCGCTTAACGATATGTTTTCATTAGCTTTAGTACTACAAGTATGGTGTTAATGTTAATATTAGACTGGACTATAGTATTCTTCATTTCATAATTGGAAATTCCACCTCATTTTTTGCTACCTCCATACACGTATATCCGTTATAATATCTAATATTTGTATTTTAATGCTATTCTATGGAAATTTGATAATAGCAACAACTTATTGTAACGATCATCAAATAGCTATTAAGAGATGATTCGTGAGATACGCAGCAGAATGTTAATGGAAATATTCCTCCACTTTGTGGTGATAAGAGAGGAAGGTCTCGAAGGAATTGTTCTTTCCAATCACTAAAATTAAATATCCCGAATATCTCGAGTGCGGAACGTGGAATCCAATGAAATATGCAAATCCAAGAAAAGCTGCTCGCAAGAACAGTGACTGCGAGGTATGCTTTAAAGAGAATACACAGAATTTCGATATAACGTGTTCCCATCTTCGTACATTCCATTAATTCTTTCTCTTCTTTACCATTATTCCATTGAAATCGCTTTTCTTTCATTTCGTTGCACTTCATCGTTTAAAGAGAATACATGAAATTTCCATATAGCGTTTTTAAATCCTCATTTCCCTAATTTTTCTTTCCCCCTCTACTCTTACTTTGCTGAAATTGCTCTTTTTATTTCGTTCAATTTTATCGTTGGAACGGAATATACGAACTTTTAATGCACCATTTTTATGTTTCTACGTTTTCCCTAATTTTCCATCGTTTCTACCATTATATCATTAAAGCAACCTTCGTTATTATTTCGAAATAGAATGTAAAGAGAAAATATGCAAATTCGATATAGCATTTCTCTTTTCACGATTCCTTCCCATTAACCGCGTGTTACGTTGTTTCATTCGGATCAAATATTTCTTTTCGTTTTCCTGTATCGTGTGATTTGTTCATTGGACTGATTTAATGTTAAATTCTTAACTTAGCAGAGATATAACTGTGTAGAGATTCTCTACTCACGCTTCTGTGACCATTGCGTTTCGAGGTTAATCTGTAATCGTTGGCAAGTCTGTGTCGACTCGACGAGACTCGAGAAACAAGTTTTAGTACTCGATTTAGCACGGAACGACTCTGAACCCATCGACCGATAATTTTCGTCTTGTCAACGGCTAAAATGAAGAGCGAGATGCTCCTGTGAACGCGTTTCTCATTAATAACATTAAAATTTTCGCGAATTATTCTCTTAAACGATTTATTCTGTGCCAAGACGAAAGCGACCGATCAAAATGCACGATTGAATCTGTTTTTTAATTCATTGTTTTAGCATACTTGAAAACTCAGTTACAAATGAGGACACTAATAAAGTGATATTTCTGAATGTTCGTATAATAAAAGTATTGAGATAATTCAAATTTGCAGATTGAAATTCATTTGATCAATTTTATAATATCGATACTCTAATATTGAACTAAATTTTCGAAAATTAAGCCTGCTGTCTTCCCTGGATTTGGTAATGGAAGATTATTCAAATGGAAATTACGTTTCCACAAATATCATGCTTTCAAATATTTTTTATCGTATTCGTCATATCTAATTTATTATGTTTGATGAAAGTGAATTTTATTATAATATTTTGTAATCTGTAATATTCTCCACCTTTTGCACCCTATTAGCATCCCTACGATAACATTTGTAACGCGCAATTCGTTATTTAATTTTAATTCTCGCCATAAATATGAAAATATGAATAATAATACTCTGCAAATAAATTCGTATATGTATATCCATCTATTTTCCTTTTTCCTTCTAAAATAAAATAATTGTTTCAAAAAGTTTCCTACTGCAAAAATGTGCATTAGAGTGGCTCGTTGATAGACTCAGAGAATTATACAAGCACAGAGAAATAAAGCAGCAACATTAACCAATTATCAAATTTACTTTATTTTAATAGTAAATTAAAAAATAATAATTATACGTTAAAATATTACCATTTTAATGGGAATTAAATGATAATTTAATTACGTGATTTAATGGTAATGGTAAAACATTTAAAAAGCCACGAAATATTAGATATATGCGACATTTTTGCTATTAATAACACGTCGAGGCTAAAATTTATACGTTTCTAGAAAATCGAAATTCATAGGGATTTAATTGACACCGGTGCGAGTAATTTCTAGCTTCGTTCATCCACCTGTAGCAAAGTTCGCCAAATTTTATATTTTATTTTCAACGAGTCACTCTAAGCCGAAGAGATACGTACGATATAAGCAATGAATTCGGTATAATAAAGAATAGTAAAATTTATTCTTTTAATCACGAATTAAAAAATGATTTCTCTCAAAATTAGCATTTTAATTCAAACGTATGCGACATTTTTGCGATCAGTACCACGTCGATGCTAAAATTCCTATGTTTCGATGAAAACGAAATTCACGATGATTTAACTGACATCGATCCAGCAAATTACTAGATTCGTTTATCAAACTAGCAGCGAAATTGCGGCTTCGTTATCGAAAATCAAAACAGATCCAATCTGGTTCAGCGGCGTTCCAGTGATTATATCAATTTCAACGGTAATTGCCAGTGATAAAATTGTTTATGTACTCACGTCATATTTCTCTTGGATATAAGGCCCAGCTTGTGCGATGTACAACGTGCTGGCCGTGTCGAACACCAATTCCAGTGGAGTCCTGGTCACTCTTCTCCTGGACATTTCGTGACAATTTAGGTATAAAATGACGTCCGTTGTTGATACCCTGATGACGATCTTCGACCATTTCTTTGTCAATTTCGGCACCGTGAACTTTGCCACCTCCTCCGAATGCGAATGCAGGTCGGAGTTGGTGTAGACCAGAGAAACGTTCTGATTGGTCCCTGGTCCATCCTGTGACAATGAAAATTCCGTATTTAATTCAAAACTCGTCCTGTATGCACATATTAGAATTAATAAATACCAATTATTTCTCTAAAGATTGATAACAGAAGCTGACAGAAACTGACAGTTCAATAATTACTAATTATTAATTATTTTATCTATCATCGTATGACTTTTTGAGTGTAAAAAGTCGAAAAGGTTCGAAGATACTTTGTAGCATTCCA